TAAGTATACTACGGCTATTTTAGTATTACCTATAGTAAAGGAGGTATCTTCGAACGATATGCCGTAGACGATAGGCGATATAGGCGATATACGGCGAGCTATAGACGTTTTAATAAGTCCCTTAAACTTATAGGACTTTCTGTTAGAGAGAATAAGAGGAGGTATAGTAATAGTAGGACGGCTTAGTTAGCCTTTCTAAAGATAGCCTACTATTAGAGAGAAGGAGAGAAGAGGTAGTAATAGTAGAATAGCTTAGTTAGCTTTCGTATAGATAAAGCTTACTATTAGAGAGAAGAATAGGAGGGAAGAATAGGAGGAATAGTACTAGTAGAAAGGGCCTTATTAGCTTTTATAAGGAGGACTCCTAGACGTACTATAAGGGGGTAAGGGTATTATATATAGGTATTAAAAGGTTATTTACTACTAGATAGGCCTATATATATAATAGTCTACTATAGTTACGATAGTCTTTAATAACCTTTAAGCTAGTTGACTTAGTAATAATCTTAAGACTATACTAACCTTTTAAGCTAAAATACTAAGAGAGATACCTTTAGAGTTTAGTTTCGCTATAGCGATACTTTTAACGATATTATAGTACCTTTTCTACCCTTATAGTTGCCCTCCCGCTTTAATATTCTCTATTTTTATAAACCTATAATAGTAATAGTCGTAGTACCTATAGAAGTAAGATATTATATATAGGCGAATTGCGATAAGTATTTTATCTTTAGATTTTAGTTTCGATCTAGCGATACTTTTAATATAATTGTAATTTATTTACTAGGTATAGAGTTAACCTTCTACTTTGTTTCTCTATATTTCTATAAATCTATAGTATTGCTAGTAGTAGTAGTATAGAGGACCTATAGATATCCCCCGAAGTAATAAGATAATATATATAAACGTTAAGAGGAATACTCTTAGGGTATAGTTTCGATAGAGTACTGTTTATTTATAATATTTCTAGTTTATTTCTTAGGGATATACCTAATTTTCCTCTTTGTCGCCCTCTATTTTTACGAACCTACCTAGTAGTATTCTAGAGGAATTTAACGTTCCCTAAGGAAGTAAGGTACTACCTATAAGCGTTAGGAGGTATATCCTTAGAGTTTTATTCCTTTACGGCGCTTCTATTTATAATAATATAGTTTATCCCGTAGTATATAGTTAACTTTCCTTCCGCTCTAATATCTTCTATATTCGTAAAGAGAAGCCTATACTATCGCTCGTAACGCCTCCTTCTAATAAGCGAAAATATAAGTACTTCTACTTAGTAACTTCTACCTAGTAGCCTCTTTAGTAATATATACAGTCGTAGAGTCTAGCTACCGGCTAATATAGTAGCCCGTACGATTCCTAGAGCTTATATAGTAGGTATTTAGTACTAGGGGGCGAGGCGGCTTTAGTCTATTCGGTATCTTTAAAGTTTCTTATTTTCGTAAAAGAAGACCTCTTACGCCTAGTAAAGCCCGTTCTATAGCCCCTTTAGTAGTATATAACGTTAATTAGGTCGGCGATTACTAGAATCCGTTTACCTAGTTAGTATAGCGGCTTAAACGAAACTTAAGAATCTAGAGCCTATAGAGTAATAGAAAGGATAAGGAGGGTAGAGAGGTACTAATCCTTCCGATATATTTAGTATTCCCTGTTTCCGTAAGCCTTATACGTAAACCTATACTATCGTCGATTATACCGATATCTAGTAGAGGGAAAGAGAACTAGATCCGCTTAGTAAACCCTATTTAGTACCTTCTTTAATAGAGTATAGAGTCGTAGTAGGCAGCGATTAGCTAAAGACGTTTACTAAATCAATAAGAATCTAGAGCTTATAGAGCAAATTACTTAAGCGGCTAGTAGTAGGTATTAATATATACGAGGACAGTAAGGCGTCCTTAGTCCTTTTAGTACGCCTAATATCCTCTATCCCTATTAAGAGGAATATATAACTACCTACGGCATTACTAAAGACTAGCGGAGAGAACTAGAAACTACCTAAGCTATAGTTAATAGTAGTATATCGTTAAACCTCCGCTTAAAAGTTTACTATTCTCGTAAACTTCCTAGTAACGCTTCCTCCTAGTAGTCGGAATCTAACTAACTACTTCCGCTTAGTAAACCGTATTATATAGCCTATTTAGTAGTATATAGAATTAAGGCATAGTCTACTTTTCTAATTAGTTAAAGTTTAGAGCCTATATATTAAGCGATAGAAAATTAGGCTATATAGACTTTATTCTTTTCTAAAATATAGGAGGAGGTTTAGGAGGGTCGTATATAATACTTACTTACAGTACTACTAAAGAGTAACGACGTAAGTTCTAAGCTAGCTAAGATATAGTCGACCTTCTACTTTAGTATTCTAAAGGCCGCAAATCTCTACTACTATCTATTACGCCTCCTTCGTTTAATAACTACTAAATACCGATAGAGGGAATTAAGTTACTTAGACAAGATTAGGCAAAATAAGCTTAGACTTCCGCTTTAGTATTCTTTACCTTTATAAAGCTATATACTCTTACTCGCGACGTTCTCTCCTAGTATCTCCGGAGACCGACTTTATAGATCGAATCTCTAGTAGGTTTTTTCAATAAGATATACTAATATTTTATTAGAAGTAAGATATATATAGTTAATATACCGCTTTAATCTTCTTTCTTTTCGGAAATATACTCCTAATAATTACTATAGGATACCGATAAAGAGTATCGGAAGTAGATCTCTTAGGTAAGATAGGCTAAGATATAGATATAATTAGCCTTTCTTGTTTCGTTTATAAACTTTTAACCTATACTATACCTCGTAATACTCTATCCTAGTACCCCTAAAGACCGACTAGTAATAAACTCTTTCTTAGTCGGATTATTAGAACTAGTAGATAGTAAACCTTATTATTAGATACTCTAGTAAATATAATATTCTTAGAAGCGACTAATCTATACTTAGTAGATAGATATATTACTAGAGTGCCTAGTATAGATAACGTTAATAGGATAGTAGTATACTACTCTAATATTCTCTATTTTTATAAATCCTAAACCTATACTATCGCTAGTAGTATAATAGGAAAGCTTAGCTCGCTTTTACGAGAACGCCTAGACGTAGTCTAAGGATATAAGGCATTAACGTACTTTTAAGAGGAATACCCCTATTAGAGTTTAGTTTCGTAGTTTATTATTTACGATCGTATTTCCTATTCCTACTGCTACTTATTATATACTAGGATAAAGCGGCTACTCGCAATAAAGTTATAGTAGGAGAGCGTAAGATACAAATGTCTCCCTATATATAGTAGCGCTACTTTTAATAATATTGCGGTTTATTTTTGGAGTATCTATAATAGATTTAGTTTGCTTTTCTGCTCGCCGCCCTATCTGTACTAAGCGTCGCAGAACTAGCAGTGCTAGGTAATACTAAAATCTCGTAGTAATAGTGCTTTTAGCTAGATTGACCAAATCCTCTAGCTGGCGGTCTGCTAACTAACGCTAGTGCTACAGGGCTCGCCGTTCCAGACGTCCTATGTCTTGCAAGCTTGCCAACTGGTGCTGCTCTCATCATTATTATCATCATCATCATCATCATCATTATCATCAAAACTGCCGTTACTCTCGCGCAGACATCCTCCCCTAAGCCGATTTGCTCGACAAGGTAGCGGGGTGATGAGAAGAAGTAGTGAAAGAATCGCAGACCTTCGCGCAGAGATGCTAGGCAAAGAAGATCATGGTGGCAGAGGTAGCATTTGGCTCAGCAGCGATAAGGATTGATTCACCGATCCCCTCTGACTGCAATAACTAGATCCCGCGTTTCGTCTCTGCTATGCTTCCAACAAGAATATCCTCGGCCATTCTTGCTCCCTACAACCCGGTAGCAACGCATGCCATATCGACACAATCATTCTCACCAGCGACTACTAAGCTGTCTAGTCCAAGCAGGCCTTGCTAGAAGGAACCAATCACATTTCTAGCCAGGCGAATGCGGCTGTAGATGTCATCCATCACTTCCTCTCCAGCTATGATAGCATTGGAGACGGCAGGGTAGGCAGCGTGTGTCGAAGGCCATGATGAAGTTAGAAGCGTGGACGCGGGCATCGATCGTGAGGCACGCTGACGTATGAGTTGAATGTTCGGGGTGTAGGCAGCGGAGAAGTTTATGCTCACGGCCATGGCGGCAAAGTCCAATGCCTGGCTGACGGCTGACCACGTTTCGTGAGTTTCGTGAGCCCCGTGAGTCTCGTGAGTCTCTTGAGTGTGAGTTTCGTGAGTTTCGTGGGTTTCGTCGGTTTGGTGAGTTTGGCGAGTTTGGTGAGTTTGGTGAGTTTGGTGAGTTTGGTGAGTTTGGTGAGTTTGGTTAGTTTGGTGAGTTTGGCGAGTTTCGTGAGTTTGGGTTTCGTGAGTTTCGTGAGCGCTTCCAGTCAGTCCGAGGTTCTCCAGTTGAGCGCAGATAGCAGATGTGTAATGAGGATTCGTGGCGCGATGGGGCGAAGATGGGAGGATGAAGGCAAGCAGCCACCACGCAAGCCAGAGATACGCGGCGGCATAGATCAAGGCCATGATCAAGTAGATGTAACAGGTCCTCCGTGGGCGAGCGTACATGTGAGCTGGAGATGGAATTGTGATGGCGTGGGGGTTGTTTGGGTCTTTTCTCTGAACCTACAGGTGGTGGTGGATGACATCCCCTCTGTAGAGGTCACGATTGAGTCCCAGCGGCAGGAGCAACATCACACAAGCCCTGGGCAAGCGCGGCAGTGAAGTTGGCCTGGGTTCTGCCTCGGGCTCTGGGGAGGCCTGAGACGGTAAAGGCCAGGAAAAGTCGGCGATGTGAGCGGGAGTGATACCGGTGCACCAACCGAGGAACTTGACACCGTACAAGCAAAACCTGGCTTCGAGTGGACCTGGGTGAGTGTCTTGTGTTTACAGCGGACACGGCTATTTGAAGAAGTCCCAGACTTGGTGAGCCTGTTTAAGCCGTGGCGTGATGGTTTGCTTGTAGGCACGCTCTTCATGAGCATTGGCCTCTTGCTCAGCTTCAGTGATCTCTTCGATGGGATCCCGCTATTGCGGTTTCATGGCCGGACTGCTCCCACCCACGTCTTGCTGTTGTTCGCCTCCGCAAATGCCTTGCTATTGCTCGCCGGCACCAATACCTTGCTGTTGTTTGCCGGCACCAATGTCATGCTGCTGTTCGGCGGCACCAATGTCTTGCTGGAGTTCGCCGCCGCCAGCGTCTTGCCGTTGTTCGCCAACGTCTTGCTGTTGTGTATCGGCGCCAATGCCTTGCTGTTCGCCGGCATCAATGTCTGGCTCTTCGTTGGCAACGATGCCTTTCTCTTGGCCGCCGACGAGGTCTCTCTCTTCCGCGCCAACGAGGTCTCTCTCTTCCGCGCTAACGAGGTCTCTCTCTTCCACGCCAACGAGGTCTCTCTCTTCTACGCCAACGAGGTCTCTCTCTTCCGCGCCAACGAGGTCTCTCTCTTCTACGCCGACGAGGTCTCTCTCTTCCACGCCAACGAGGTCTCTCTCTTCCACGCCACCGAGGTCTCCTCGCCCCCACCGACGTCTTTCTCTTGGCCCGTCTCCTCTTGCGATCCTTGTTCTGGATCTGAGCCTATACCTCGACTATGGGCCAACATGTCCAGAGCACCAGGGCTTGTAGAAGATTCGCTGTCTCTGTCTTCGGCCGCTCTCTCGCCTTTCGCTGTTGACTGAGTAGGCACAGCGCCTTCCAGAAGGTCCATGGAGCGGTGCGAGCGGACGAGGCCTGGAGCCATGAAGAAGCGAGCGTAGGTGAGTGGTGAGTGGCAGTGGCAGTGGTGGTGGTGGTGGTGAAATCATGTCTATCGGAGTCGGAGTATCGGAGGCCTCTGCTTCTTCAGTACAGCATGCCAAGCCAAAGCTTTGCTTGTGCTGGCTGCAAGCCTGCTTTGGCGAAGATGCAGTGATGTGTTCAGTGATCTCTGCTGCCACCACATTGGTCTCCAAATTCGGGCTAAACCGGGCCAATGTTCCGCTCTCGACTTCGAAGCTGCTCGAATGCATGCTTGCCAGCCGAAGAAGTGATGTGGAAAAGGATGCACAGCGGCAAATACTGCGAGGCTGCCATGCGCACTAGAAGCTGAATCTTCTGCGTGCCAGCCGACGTGCGATTAGTCAGCACCTCAAGAATTTGCTAGGTAAACTGCGAAACATAGTACATCTCTTTGCCGACGCATTTGCAAACCTTGAAAGTGTGCCCGAAAGTTTTCACCAACCGAGTTCTTTACGACCCGAGAATATTGTGAGTTCCCACAAGGAGATGCACTTGGGGCCCAGCAAAACATGTCTCTATCCAGATCGACCTCGATTAGTAAGCCAAGCCAAGGTTGCACCTCAAACATTGCGAGATCTGTTCCTCTTCGACCACGCAGCTGCAAACCTTGAAACTCTCGGAAATCCTTCTATAAACCGCCCTCGTCACCGACCAGAGGAAACGGGGAATTTCGAGAGGGAGATGCGGACAGGAATCAGTCCAAGGAGTGCCGCTCTCCGCCTCCGATCCCACACACCTCGTAACCGTGCCCCACGAGTGTGGGGGAGGCAGTTCTTGATGATCCGAAAGTATGGTGAGATTCCATCCAGAGATGCATTTGGGGCCCAGCAAAACGTGGATTCAGATCGATGTCCGTTGCAGAGGAGAGCCTGGGCTGGGCTTGGTCGGGCCGAGCCGAGCGGAGCCGAGCGGAGCCGAGCGGAGCATGCGTCGCCAATCTCAGTCAGCTTCGACGCTCTGCAACGAGCAGTCAGCGTCGGCGTCGACTTTCCCGCGCGCGTGCTTCCGTCAGCGCAGAACGAAGAAAAGCCGCCGCCGAGCTTCATCTCCCGTCTCTCTCTACATGCATCCGTCGCTGCAGAAGTGGTCGTCGGTCGACCATTTCACCTCCCGCCGGTTAGAAATGTCGCCGCACATCGCACGTGAGCTTCATCTGCTGTCTGTGGAACGGCACTGGTCGTCCGTCGAGGATTTCATCTCTCCGGCCCGTGCAGAAATGCCATCGCACCTCGCAGCTCAGCTCTATCTGCTGTCTCTGCGCAGGTGCTGCAAAACTGGTCACTTGTTGACAATCCCATTTCTCCAGAAGCCGTAGAACTGCTGCCGCACGAAGGAAGTATATTATTCTCGACACCACTGCCTACTCTTCCATTCCCACAACCCATCGCCTACGCTCTCCGTCTCATCCTATCACCCTACTCCGATCGAAGCTCTTATCCAACTCTTCCATTTGCTATCATCCCATTGACTCACTACCTATCTACTCACCACCCCATCTACTCACCACTACCGCTATCGCCTTCCACTATCATGTCCATTACCACCAGTTCTGCGGACAAGAGGCCATCACCGCCAAGCATTCTCCCAACCCGCGCCAGTCCGTCGACCTCATGCGCCCTACCAGCCTCGACACTGAAGGCACCGACGTCTACCAGAATGCCCCAAGCAAGCTTGTTACCTGGATCCTAAACCACATGTTATCCAAAGCCCTGCCGAAGTTAACACCCAGCCTAGCAAGCCACTGGCGCCCGTCGACGTCCCCGTCCACGCCTGCATTACCACTTGGCATGCCACAGCCTACTCGCCAAAGACTTACGACTTCTCCGTCCCAATCGATGCTGCTCAGCAGTCTTGGTCCCCCCGGGCGCTCGTTACATCGTCCCGCATACCAAAGACACCATCATTTTACAAGGCCATGCATTCAAATTTGGCGGAGCGTCTGCCTCCGCCTCCTCCACCAACACTCCAATAGCACCAGCCTCCACTACATCAACTTCGGTGCCAACCACTGCGCCGGCTACGCCTGCGCCTGCTCCAGTAATCGAAGTCCAGCCCGACAAGTTCCACACCGACACAACCGAGTTCATGTGCTAGCAGTCTCTGGATTTCACGCGTAACGACTTGGACAAGTGGCTGAACCACAATGGCATAGCTGCAGCTTTATCGAGGCTCTGCCTATGCAAGCCCGTGCCGCTGCCGCCGCCGAGGACCTGTCAAGCCCGATGGCCGCTTTCAAGGAGGACGCACAGAAGAAGAATGATCGCACCGGGGATCCCAAGGCCCGAATTCTCAACATGGAGCACGAATCGCGCCTCCAACGCCCAGCGGGAGCAGCGCGACGCCGAGACCCGCGACCCGAAAGCCCACAACGACTTGCTTCAATCTATGCAACATCGCCAGCCTTCGCCGCCAACCACTCCTCCTATCCTGGATCGCATCCGTGACGACAACCTCGATTCCGCGCCGTACTCTCGGCATGTCCGCTTCGCATCGTCCGCCGAAGACCTTCCGCGCGGCACGAGAGCAGAGAAGAAATCTAAGGATCAGCACCTTCTGTTGGCCCTCAACATAGACAGCGTGCTACGTAGCCAATTTGGTATGCCAATGGGCTCCGCCAATCATTCCGGCTCGCTAGCGCCCACTCCCAAGCCAAGTAGCAAGGGCACGATATTTGCTTCTATAGAAGACAACCTACGTAAGATAGGCATTAATATTAAAGCGATCGCTAAACTTCTATATTCAAAATCCTAGTATTATTATAGCGTCTCGTAAATCGTAACCTTTTACTATACTACACTATTATATAGTATTTAAGTATATTACTATATCTTAGTATTATATTATTACCGTATTACTATCTACGGCCGAATTTAGTTCCCGTAGCTCTATAATATAGCTTTTAAATATATTACTATATTGTAGCATCGTAGTACTACTATTTACGCCCGACTTTAGTCCCTATAGTACTATAATATAATATTACTATCGATAGACGAAATAAGTTCTTATAGTACCGCGCTATAGTAATATTATTAACGTCCGATTTTAATCCTTATAGTACTATTCTATAGTATTACTATTAACGGCCTAAACCAGTCCTTATAGCACTATACTATAGTATTGTTATTAACGGCCTAAACGAGTCCTTATAGTACTATACTATAGTATTACTTTTAACGGCCTAAACGAGTCCTTATAGCTTTATACTATAGCATTTAAGCACGTTATAGTATTATATTATTACTATTATTATAGTATTACTTTTATTATAGTATTACTATTATTATAGTATTACTTAGACCCCGCAGTAGTTCGGGTTAGTTTAGTTTAGTTTACTAAGCCGAAGATCTAGTTTAGTTTAGGTTAGTTTGCTAAGCCACTATAGGATTAGCTAGTTCGAACTATAGAATTTATCGGTTTCTAAGAAGTATAAGAATGTCTACGTAACTCGAAGCAAGCCCTTTATAAGATACGAGAGTATAGCCGGTAGCGTAGCCGGCATTTTTCAGTTATAGGAAGGTACTTATATAACCCTAAATCTATAGACAATTAGCTAAGGGCACTAACTAATTAAAAGTATATATATATATAAGCTATTATAGTTTAGTTTAGAAACTGTACTTATTAGGTATAAAGTTTATCCTTTCGCTCGCTATTTAATTCCCTAACTGCTCGGTAGAATGTTATTATCTAGATCTAGGTAGAACTTATCGATTTCCTTAGAAGCCCTCTTTAAGAAGTTCTAACACTTTCTAACTAAACTATTCTCTAATATTAAGTACTAGGATAGCTCCTCCCTCGGTATCGGTATAGTATATAAAAGAGCTATAAGGCAGCTCTATATAACGTTCTGCTAGTTACTCGCTATACTAAGGCCGAATACTAGTTCGTTCCTTAGAACTCTTAGTTATTTAGGAGATATTAAGGGTAGAGTAGGTAGTAACTTCGTATTATATAAGGAGGTAGAGGCTACTATAGAGGAGTCCTTTAACCTATAGAAGATAGTAAAAGATACAGAGGCAGCTATAGGTCTAGGTACCTAGTGAAATTTCTAGTAGGTAGAGTATAAGGATATTTAGAGGGAGTATTAGGTAGAGTTACGAAGGCAGGTATATAATATAGTCTAGAAAATAGGGATAATACCTATAACTATAAGTATTAGGCTCTTTAACCTTCCTTATTTTTCTCTATTTTCTTTTATAAAAATCTAAACTAATACAAATCAACCGGAATATATATCTTCTTCTAGTTCTTTTAAAAACGTAGTAGCGTAGCCGCTAGCGTAGCCGGTAGCGTAGCCGGCCTTTTTACTCCTTATTACTAACGGGGTTTTCGAAGACTTCTATTCCGTATAGCTAATAAAGTATACTATACTATATATATATACTTAGAGAGTATTTAGAGCGCGGTATATAGCGCCGTATAATAGCGGCTTATTTCGTATATAGAAAAGCTTGTAGACGATACTGCGAACATCCTTCCTACTAGAATATCTATCCTACCTAGTACTATCCCGAATGTAGATATTCTAGCCTTTTAGAATCTAATCGAGTGCTTTCAAATCCTTATCTATAATCGTTATATACTTCGCGTAGATAGCTATAAAGTTAACCGCTAAAATAGTATTATTATAGTCTAAAAAGAGGTAGAAGAGAAACATATATCTAAAGATACGAACTAGGTAGGCTTGTATAGCCTCTTAAAGGGCGCCTATCGCGGAGGCTTAGAAGCGAAGGTCCGTTCTATAATCCTAGGCAATTTCGCGAATAAGTCGTTAGAAAGGAGCTTTACGGATTAGGAGATTAGAACTCTTCTAATACTTCCGAATCTTACGGAGGGCTACGGCTAAAGAAGGATTAATAAAAAGATAGTAAGAATACCGGCTATACTACCGGCTATAAATAGGACTTACTTCCTAAACGCTATCGACGCTTCGTACGATTATTACTACTAGTAGTAGAAGCGCTAGTTATCGTCTTGTGTAGAGCCTTACCCGCCGTTATCTTACGCGGAGCCTTACTCGCGACGCCCTTTCTAGTACCGGATCTAGCGGTAGTAGTAGTAGCCTTCTTACGTTAATATACTATACTCGTTCTACTATTTCCGGTCTTATTACGACCTATAGAAGTAGTAGGTCCCTTCTTACGAGGCGTCGTAACTAAATTAAGTAGACTCGGTATTATGAAAGTCGTCGAATTAAGGAAAAAAGTGTATTATAAAGGTGTATAAAGGCGCGCGCGGAGCGAGGGTGTTGTAGAGGTGGTAGATCTAGAGTATAGAGATGTAGGTATCGATACGAAGGTTAAATGTAGCGAGAGAGGTGGTGTTGCGGTATCGCTAGGTGGTGGAGTAAGCGTCGCGCGAGCCTGTATTGTAGTAATATTGGAGTAAGGAAAGACGGTAGGTACGGCCAAAAAAGGCAGGTACGGCAAAGTTTGAAATACAGCCGGTATACACAGCCGGTACAGCAACAGGCGAAAGCCTCCTCCAAATAAATAGCCGGCGTAATAATAGTGTCCTACTACAGTATAGATATTCTTCAGTAATGCCTTTACTAGCTATAGTAATCTTACAATCAACCTAGGCCTATCACTAGGAAATATAAGAAATATTAGGCAGGCTATACTAAACAAGCTAGTTATTTAGTAGGAAAAGGCCTACTACTGTCTCTATATACCGGCTACGAGTGCCGGCTATTGCTCTAAATTTAACTCTACCCTATCTCGGAGGCTAAGGTACCGAGCGGAAACCCTATAGCTTATATTTACTCGGTTGTCGTAGAGCGCTTATAGGTAAGGTATTAGAAAAGAGTATAAAAAGTACGAGAAGAGTATCCTAGTATTATAGTAGCTGCCTAGAAAGCACCGACAAGTCCTATAAGCTAGCCGCTATACTATAAAGTAATATCGGATTTAAGTTGCCTTAGTAGTAGGGGCCCCTAGCGAAGTAGGTCGCCTAGTTAGCCGCCTATTTAGCCGTATAACGTAATATCTTAGGGACTCCCGCGGAGGCTATATATAGCAGAACAATACGTTATATATTAATATACGAACGACGGGACTATACTAAACTACGCGTATACGTATACGGACGATAGTAAGCGAGATATATAGAGTCGTAGGATAGATCCGAGTAGTAGGAAGGAACCAGAAAGTAGGGAAGAGCTAGGAGAAACATATTTGCTTAAGAGCGGTTAAACGAGTTCGTATACGCGCGCTACGTAAGTTAGCTAGGAGATAAAGGCGCTACGAGATGGCGGATAAGCAGGATACGTACGCGCGTACTTAGCGCGTAGGGAAGGACCTAAAAGTAGAGGTTTACTAAGAAGTTAGTAAGTAGGATATACGTACTTACGCTTACGTATCGGACGCGCTAGACGGCCGTAGGGCGGAATACTAAGGAAGGGGCTCTCCCTCTAAGGTATCCTTCTTCCTTTCTTCGTAGTTCGTCTTATAGAGATAGTAGCTATATTAATTTAGTATTCCCTTTAGTTTAGTTTAAAGTTTCGTATATATTCTTACTACTTAGCCTCCGACCCTTATATTACAAACTGCCTTAAAAAAACGCCTCTATTAAGATAGATACGCCCGAAGAATACATTTAAAATATAAGACCTAACGAAGTACCCGATTTTTTAAGCTTAGTATAGAATAAAATCCCCGCTACGCGCGAGTAGCTAGATTACGCCTACGCTACCGACCTAGAACTACTCGCTAACCTGCTTAAGGCTTATAAAGATACTACTCGTTTCCTCTCGGTCTCCCGTACTAGCCTTAGTACGGCTCTTAACGACGCGAATACTTCTATCGTAGAAAAAGAAGACGAGGTAGGCCGCCTCTAGTCGTAGCTCGCCTCTACTCGCCTAAGCGCTACGGTACCCGCTTCTTACCTATTTATACCTACTTCGAATAAGAGTAAGAAGCTTAGCGACCCCGATTAGTATTCCCTTTAGTTTAGTTTAAAGTTTCGTATATATTCTTACTACTTAGCCTCCGACCCTTATATTACAAACTGCCTTAAAAAAAACGCCTCTATTAAGATAGATACGCCCGACGAATATATTTAAAATACAAGACCTAACGAAGTACCCGATTTTTTAAGCTTAGTATAGAATAAAATCCCCGCTACGCGCGAGTAGCTAGATTACGCCTACGCTACCGACCTAGAACTACTCGCTAACCTGCTTAAGGCTTATAAAGATACTACTCGTTTCCTCTCGGTCTCCCGTACTAGCCTTAGTACGGCTCTTAACGACGCGAATACTTCTATCGTAGAAAAAGAAGACGAGGTAGGCCGCCTCTAGTCGTAGCTCGCCTTTACTCGCCTAGACGCTACGGTACCCGCTTCTTACCTATTTATGCCTACTTCGAATAAGAGTAAGAAGCTTAGCGACCCTAAACGCTTTATCGGTAAGCGTAAAGTATACGAGGAATTTAAGATATAGGTTAAGATCCGCTTTCTCGCTAACGCCGACTACTACCCGACTAAAGCTTTAAAGACCGGATTTATGTTTTCTCTACTTAGTAGCTCTACCCTCGATTCCTACTATAGCCTCTTAGAAAATATAGAAACTACTACGACGGCTACTATCTAGAAGGCCCTCGACGCTAGTTTCCGCGACCCCGACTATAAGCAAACTACGTACCTAAACTTAGATAAACTTAAGCAAGCAAATAAGACCTACTAAGAATACTATACTGCCTTCTAATACGAGATTAGGTACGCCGAATACCCTTCGGACGTCGCTAAGTAGATCTTAGTACGCGGTCTTAGTAAAGAAATAATACTATAAGTCCGCGATAAGGATACGGAGAATCTAAATATTACCGAACGATATGCCTTACTTACGCGTATCGATAATACAACTCGAAACTTCGCGAAAATTATCGCTAACCGCGGAGGCGCCCGTACGAATACTAGCCGCTTTACGTCGCCGTTCGCTATACTACTGTCGAAGTTATAGATAGCTTAGATACCGGCTTTAGTACTAGCTGCTACTATAGCCCTAATACCGCTAGGCGCCTAGCCTACCGCCGAACCGATAGATTTAAGCGCTACCTCGCTCGGCGCCTATCTACGCGCGCCTCTAGTAAATAGTAAGCTTTTAGAAGAAGAGAAGCAGCGTCGCCGTATAGTAGGAGAATGTATCTACTACGGAGTAAAAGGATATATTACTCGCCTCTACCTATCTCTCGTCGGCCGGCTTAATACGCTAACGATATAGCGAGTCGCCGCCGCGAATATTACGACTCTAGATACGCCTTTACCGGCTAGCGCTACTCCGAGCGGCTAGGGAAAAGCTTAAACCTTATATATAGTCGCTTATAGGGTTTATTCGTTCTAAAACTAAGAGTATCTATTACTACCTTCCCTTTCTCTAGCTCGGCTATAGAGAAAGAGTTAGTCTACTAGCCTTGCGTAGTAGAAACGTTAATAGGAAATTAAAAGAAATTATTAA